ATGGTTGTTATTGGTACATAATATAGTTGTTCTTGTTTAATGACTTTCCTGAACTAGTTCTGTAAAGTTTGTGTTGTTTTTTGAGAGACCAGTGAAGTCTCTACTTGGTGATCTTAGTGGCCAACTAATTGGATGGAGATTTCCTTAAACCCCTGGGATTAGTAAATACCTATTTTTGCCGAGGGGTTCCATGTAACTATTGGAGCATACTGTCATTGCTTTGCCTAACAGTTGAAAACTGCCTTAGCCTTTATTTCCTGCTGACTGTCAAGTCAAAGTCAGCCAGAGGTGAGAGCTTAGAGCCTTCTTAGGTTTTTCCTGAGCATGCACTGAAGCTCTATACATTCATGTGCCTTTCTAGACTGCTGGGAAAATGTCAAAGCTTTTCAAACCCCCACGGACGTTATATTTCTCAGCTTTGCCTTTGGTTTGCTTCAGTTGTTATCTGCCACCTCAAGAGGCTGCAAAGTTAAAACACTTGTCTGTATTTTCAACAAACACTCCTGAGTGTGTGGAGTGGGGAGGCTTTTCTGAGTTAAGCCAGAAACAGTCAGTCTTGCAAATGAGGTCTTCATTTGCAAGGGAACCATCAGACAGGTCAAATAATGACAGTTCTTTGAGAATGAAACTTTGAAAGAGCTCTGAGAGCACTGTTTTGCTTCTCCAGATGGCTGCTAGGCTGTACCAGGAATGCGGCCTGGTGAGGGCCTGGAGAGTGGGGATGGGTCTAAGGCAAGTTAAAATGTCACAGAACTCACCGTTCTTACTGAGATATGGTTGTTTTCCTTGAATTAATGCTCCCTGGGTTCCTGCAAAACCGTTGGTTAGTTTACAGAATTCACAAGAAGTTGATATTGACAATTTTTGTCAACTTTTTGGTTGCTTTTATGGAGGGGAGCTTTTTTGGAGGCCCATAGTAACTACCATTTCACTGACATCTTTTTGGATCAGGAATCTGTTAAATTGTTTTTGTTTTCTTGGGGGTTCTTGGTGCCCTTCTTTTTTATCTTGTTATCAGAAATAGTATACTTTCATCATAACTTCCGAATTACCCAGATTCATTACTACTGTGTATTGTCTAGAAGTCTTTTTCTTCCTGAACTCTGCTCTAGACTGGTTATTTCCTATTCTACTATATAGCTGCACTCCTGGTATTTTCTTCCTGCACTTATAGATTAAATGCACTGTTTTTTGGACTTGAGTTGGATGTTCTTCTTTTTCAGTTTTCGTCTTCATTTTGTTTTTCTCAAAGTGATATATAATAAATGTAGAATTCTTGTATATCTTAAAATGTATTTATTTTAACTTTTCATTTATTTCTCAGTTTGACTGTATGTAGAATTCTAGCTTAAAAATAATTTCCCCTTATTAAGATTGAATGGGATGTCTTCTTACACTCAGTGTTAATTGATTCTGGAAGTCTCTTCCACCTCTTTGTGAGTGAGCTTTTTCTCCTTTTTGGTACTTTTAGGACCTTTTTAAAAACACTCAGTGTTATAAAATTTCATGAGTCATTCATTCTGCTTAGCTCTTAGTGGGACTTTTCAATCTGAAGGCATATTTTTCTTCAGCTCTGAAAATTCTTTTATTACTGTCATAATTTCTGGAATGCCAAATTGATTGCCTGAATTGATCTCTGTTTCTACCTTGATTTCTTTGACTTTATCTTCCAGCCTTTTTGCTGAAGTTTTAATTTAGCTACTATATTTTAAATTTTTGTGTTCTTTCTTTTTGGCCTAATTGTTCTATTTTCATATTTTATTCTGGTTATATGGATATAGTATCATCTCAGATCTCTGTGAAGATGTAACATAGAAATATTTTTGGATATCTTTTTTCCTAATTAGCTCTGTAATCTTTTTTTTTTTTTTTTTTTTTTTTTTTTTTTTTTTTTTTTTTTTTTTTTTTTTTTTTTTTTTTTTTTTTTTTTTTTTTTTTTTAACTTATTTTCATCTGGCTGTTTTTTCTCATAAGATGCAGTCTTTAGTTCTCTAGTATTTTTTTTTAATAAAAAAATATTTTTCTCCCATTCTCTTGAGTGTGAGACAGTACTAATGGGTTTGTCCACTGTGTGTCTGAAGTCTGTTCTTCCCACCACCGTGAGAGCTGAGTGGATTGACTAGTCAGCTTTGCTTTGCAGGCCATGGGGTCTTGGTCATCCCAATGCTTGAGTGAGTAGGACTTCACTTGACACACAGGCATCCACGCTATGCTCCTCAGACTGCTGGTTAGTATCTTTGGAGCAATATCCTTCATTTTTCTATAGCAAACAGGGATTCCTGTCCCTTTCAGTGGTGCTTCCAGGGCCACAGCAGTTCCCACATGTGCCCCTGGCCTTGTTCCTGCCCTGCATACCTACTTACTCCCAGCTGGAGCCCATGTAGCTGTGGCTTCTGGATGTCTCCTACCCTATAGCATTTGTCTGCTGTGCCTCTCCTCCTTTTGTCTTCTGTTCCTGGCCTCCCTCTTCCCCCATTTTCACTGGGATTTTTCTCTTCATTCCTGTTATGCCTGCAGGTCGCAAGAGGTCAGAGAGATGGCTGTCTATTCTCAGTGTGACATCTTCCCCTGGGACCTCTGGAAGCATTTCTTGTCTGGTTTTCTCCCTTGATGATTTGGTTCATTCCCCTGGGTAGGCAGTGTGAGAAGCTTGCCCAAATTTGGAAATTATTATGTTATATAGAGCTGGGTGGGAGAATTATATTTGTTAAGCGAGCTTGTTCTTGTGAAGGCAGGACCGAGGAGCCTTGGGCCTTCTGTGTCATGTTTCCATTGCATACAAGTTCATGTTTAGACATGATTTGGCCCAACATGTGTCTGGACCATTTCAAGAGCGAGTGGATCTGATGTTCCATTTGCCCACGTTCCTTATGCTGTTAGAAGGTAGGGAGTGAAGCTCAGTTGCCCCTTGTTCAATAGGACTAGTCAAGTAAATACACTTTTCCATGGTATATTCCCCTATGAAAGGTCATGCAAGTGGAACTGTGTTTTCATGGGAAGATGCTTCCTTGGAGTCTGCATCTGAACCTGGCAGAGCTGCCCATAGCCAGCAGATTATCCTCACTGTGTCCCCGTAGTGGGCAGCTTTCTGCCACCTCTTCCTGTCACTGCATGACTCAGGAACTATCTTTCATTTAGAAACTACCTAATGGGCTGGGTATAGTGACTCACATGTGTCATCCCAGCACTTTGGGAGGCTGAGGCAGTAGGATTGCTTGGGGTCAGGAGTTCAAGACCAGCTTGGGCAACAGCGAGACCCTGTCTCTACAAAAAATAAAATTAGCCAGGCTTGGTGGCACATGCTTGTAGTCCAGCTACTCGGGAGGCTGAGGTGGAGGCATTGCTTCAGCCTAGGAGTTTGATGCTGCAATGAGCTGTGATCACGCCACTGCACTCCAACCTGGGCAATGAAGTGAGGCCCTGTCTCTTAAAGAAGAAAAACTGTCTGACAGCAGTGACTCCTGTACATCATTTCTCCCATTTCCATTTTTTTATTTATGATATTTAAACTACAGTTAGGTTACAGTATTGTGTTTCATTGGCAAATACTAAACTTCAGTTTGGAAAATCTATCAGCTTGCATTTTTTTTTCCCCCAGTCATTTTATAAGCATTTAATGAGCCACCTACCAGATGACATGGAGAGTAGCTTCCAAATTGTTTTTATTCCATACACCTATTAGAAAAAAGTTTTAAGTACTTGATCCCAGTGTCTTCTTAATGCTACTTCATACAGATACAAAATGTAAATGGAAGTTCAGTTTTCTTTCTTCTTCTAATTACTGACCAGTGAACCCCCTGGGGTATGCATATTCTGCTTTGGAGACTGGTGGCTCGAATACATGATATGAAGTGAAAGGAACCCTGCTCTCAGCACTGCCAGTCCAGTTCTGGAGACAGACAGAGTGGTGGAGCAGGGAGAGGTGTTCCTAGGACAGTGGGGAGGGCCATGGGGCCAGTCTCTGCCTAGGATAGGCTCAGAGGGAGAAGGGTGAGCTGAGGCTTTTAGAGGTTTTGTAAAGAACCAAGACAAAATGCAAAACCGTGTGCAGGCGTTGGTGGTGTAATGGTGAGCATAGCTGCTTTCCAAAACCAAAGGAATTGGTCTCATACTTTTAGATGAAGACCAGGCTATAGTTACCAGGAAGTGCAGTGGCTCATGGAAGGAAGAGGCAGTGCTTGTCTCTTGTACGGCAGTCCTGGGGTGAGCAGTTCAGGGTGTGCAGCTGCTTCAGCTCTCTTGGTTGCTGTGGCCCAGGGCTGGCTCCTGCATCTTCCAGGTAGCAGGATAGGCAAGGATACCTGCATCTTCCAGGTAGCAGGATCAAGGGTAGGCAAGGGAGAAGTACCACTTGTCTGCTCTGCTCACTTTTTGCTGTGACAATTGGTCTCTAACTGGAGAAGGGAGAAGAAGACTGGGTCACAGCAGCTTTCACCATAGCACTTTATGTTACCAGTTATGCTGAGAAAGATTTTCTGGTGGATTTACTTTTTTTTTTTTTTTTTTTGAGACGGACTTTCACTCATGTTACCCAGGCTGGAGTGCAATGGCGCAATCTCGGCTCACCGCAACCTCCGCCTCCTGGGTTCAGGCAATTCTGCTGCCTCAGCCTCCTGAGTAGCTGGGATTACAGGCACGCACCACCATGCCCAGCTAATTTTTTGTATTTTTAGTAGAGACGGGGTTTCACCATGTTGACCAGGATGGTCTCGATCTCTTGACCTCGTGATCCACCCGCCTCGGCCTCCCAAAGTGCTGGGATTACAGGCTTGAGCCACCGCTCCCGGCCTTGGTGGATTTACTTAAATGAGTGGACATCTGCAGGTTGCCCTAAGTATAAATTAGGCTGGTATAGTTTTCTTCACTGAGGTGCCTGGTGAGCCTGATGACAGTGCTGTAGTGTGCAGTTAGGTACCTCGGAAACCGTTACCCCTCCCACTGTTGAGCACACCAGTGGTCACCCTGATGGGAGAGATGATTTTCTTTTGCTGTGTTCCTAGGTCTCAGTGGCTCTTAGCAGCAGCTCCATACGTGTGGCCATGCTGGAGGAAAATGGGGAGCGCGTCCTCATGGAAGGGAAGCTCACCCATAAGATCAACACTGAGAGTTCTCTCTGGAGTCTCGAGCCTGGGAAGTGTGTTTTGGTAAGTTTGGGCACCTTTGTGCAGGGCTCCCAGGTAGACTTCAAACCTGCAGTGATGCCCCTTTTGACCAACAAGCCCGTTTACACTTAAGCAGTGAGGTTGTTAATTTCAGCTGCTGGGGCAGATGGGTTTTCCTGAGCCGGGGGCATGGTAAAAGAGATAAAGGTGAAAAGAAAAATATTAAGTCTGGACAAAAGTCTTCAGAATTTTATACAGATATATTCTTTATATGTGCAAAGGATGCCATAAAGATACCTGTTTTGGTTTCTGTAAGACATGCTTGGCAGGCTTCTGCCTGGGCCACCCTGGCTAGTGCTGACTGGCAGGGACAAACTGTCTCTGGGGCCCACAGTGACTCTGTCCTGGCTGCCCCCATGTTTGGAGGGATGTGCGGGCCAGGTGCTGAAAGCAGGGTGTTCTGTCGGTGCTGCGGGAACCTGGACCAATCTTAACTCCAGTCTTGATATCAAGCCTGGATGATAGAGCTCACTCTGGGCTACACGGAGGTGGGGCCAACCTGGGCACAGGCAACATGCTCCTTGGTGTTGCCATGGACTCAACTGCTTTCTCTCTTAATGAGCATTTCATCCCAAACAGGGCCTCCCGTTTAGGCCCTACATGAGGCCCTATGTGTGGTGTGTAGGGTTTCTAGCAATAGGGCTAGGACTGGCCCATCCCAGTTCTGACTCGCCTGGGCACCCAGGGCCCACCTCTGCTGATGGCCAGCAGCAGATGGCAGTGGTTCTTGTTTTGAATCTCACCTGATTGTACTCCCCTACCCATGGCATTCAGCAGCCAAAGACCAGAGAAGTGCTCTTCTCCTGCCTGCAAATACTGTGATGATCATGCCATCACACAGCAGTTCAGTTCCTCATCCCCTGACCCCTGACATATAAAGCCTGTGCATTAATTACACAGCCTGGAGCCTTTTCCCAAGCTATGGGCTCCTGTGAGTACTACCAATTCCTTTCCTTTATGTCATACTTTATGTCGCCAAACATCTGCTACTTAGTTCACAGATGCCCTTATGGCTTCTCCCTCACTTGAGCTTCACATGGTTGTGGAGGTATGAGAGCATGAGTGATATACTGTAGTACTGAAGCTGGCTAGCTTGCCCTCTGAAGTGCAGCCCTGGCTGCCTGGACTGCACTAATGGGCCCGTGATCCTGGGGCTGCTCTCTCCATGGACTGAGCAGTCAGTGACAGCCCTGCCTTAAAACACTGGCTTTGACTCTCCTGCCATCCTTCCTTTGGGTGAACTCAGTGCAGAGCATGGAGCAGGTCACGGTGCTCTTGTGTTGGTTTCCTCTGAGCAGGAAGCTCTTGGTGAGCCTTCCCCATGTGGTCCAGTTGCACTTTGTAGATGCTTCGTGCAGAAGCCAGTAGCCTTAAGTCACTGGTCTCTGAGCCCATAGCTCACTGTATTTGAAATCTGTTGGGTTCATAATTAGGGTACCAATGATTCCTTTCACTTTACACTATTTGCATAAATATGTGATTATTACTACATAGCTCAACTCTTAAGGGTTTTGTTGACAGAAGTGACTGTTAACTTCTTTGTGGATATATCAAAGCCATGTTACTTTTTTGTGTGTTTTGTATACTTGTATATATAATGCAAGTGGAATAGGGATGACGTTAGTGGCTAAAGCATTAACTTCTTTTAATAATGGCCACCTTTCATTGCACACAGTCTTTGTGCCAGGCTCTTTGTGAGTTTCCTTACAATGCTGTTTAATTCTCTGTAAACTCATTTTATAAATTGGGACATTGAGGCTCTGAGAAGGTAGGTAGCTTGCAAAGGGGGTAGAGCTACACCTCAAACCCATGCCTGCGTTATCCCAGAGGGCTCTTCCCAGTACTCTGAGAAACAGTGAGAAACGGGAGTCTATGGAGAAGGCTTAGCCCTGTTGGGGCTGGGAAGCATTGCTCCCTTTCAACTGAAAGGCTCCGTGGAGCAGAACATGAGTAGGAAGGAGTGTGGGTCCCCAGTGTGGGTTTCAGAGGCTTCTCTGTGTTAGGTAAATGTGAGGTGCAGCCACCAGGCAGGAGGTTGGGGGAGCTATGCCTTAAGAGGATAGCTCGATGTTCAACTTTCATGCCAGGGCCCCTTGGGCCGTAGCACAACCCCTGCAGGCCTGTCTCAACCTGTGTGTTCTGCTTGAGTCCAGGCTTCACTTGTGTCTTGGCTGCCTTTAGTTTTTGTAGTTAAATTTCATCAAACACCTGCCACTCAAAGAGCTTATGGAAATTCAGCAGAATCACTACAGACTGAGGGGTACCTGTCACTGCCCGAGAACACAGCTCCTAAATATTCTCTGCTAAAAATCCCTCTACAGTTGAAACACTGCATGAGTTATTTCTTGTGGTTCCTTAACGTGCCTTTATTATCAGTAGATGGCATTGCATTCCTAATGCACCTTCACCTGTGAGAAATCAAGTACCTGAATAAAGAGGAGTTATGAAGAGCGTTGCAACTCTTCCTGTAGGCTCAGCCTGCCTCCACCTCTTTCTGGACCATGTAGCCTCTAGTGCAGTAAACACAGAGTGTATCATAGAAGCTTTGCTGTTTACAGGAGCTAAGGGGTTTGTTGTCTTCTTGATTTAATTAATTATTTATGTGTGACCTTTTGGGGCCAAATTGTTTCCTCTGGTTACATATCTGAAATAATACTGTGAATCAATGAGCCGATTGCTTTGATTCACAAAGATCCTGTTTGCCTCCTGCTTGCTGCATTGTGTCTCTTGTGTGGAGCTTGGCACTTTGCTTTGAGCATGTGGATGCAGAAAGGGACTGCAGATGAATCAGGGAGCCTGGCTTTGGGTTGCAGCCCCCTGTCAAGCAGCTGCCTAGTTTTGGGTCATCTCTTTAGCCTTACTGGATTTCATTTCTCACCCTTCAACAAGGTTGAGCACTGTAGCCTGGTTGATCTGCAATGTTTGTTGGTTTCTTATTAAGTACCCAACTATGTTCAGGCACTGGAGATGGCTAAAGAAAGTAAGTTGAGGGCTTTGCTCTAAAGGGTTGGAGATGTCCTGTGAATGTGGCCTTATTTGGGAAAAGGATTTTGTAGATATGATTAAGTTAAATATCTCTCCAGATGGAATCATCCTGAATTATCCAGGTGAGCCCTAAATCCAGTGACACCTGTTTTTATAAGAAATAGAAGAGGAGAAGATAGAGGCAGACACAGAGGAGAGAATGCCACGTGAAGATGAGGTAGAGACTGGAATGATATAGCCACTGAGCCCAGAAACACCTGGAACCACCAGAAGCTGGAAATGACAGGAAGGATGCTCCTCTAGAGTCTCTGCGGGAACATGGCCCTACTGACACCTTGATATCAGTTCTGGCCCTCAGGGCTGGGAGATAGTAAATTTGTATTGCCTTAAGTCGCCTGGTCTGTTGTTCCCTGTTAGGGCAGCCCCAGGACTCCAGTGCAGGTCTCCCATTCCAGCACTTCTGTGAGGCTGCATGAGATGAGAAGAATGCAAAGGGATGGTGTCCAAAGCTGTGCTGCTGCCACTGCCCCCAATCTCCATGGTTACAGATTCTGACCTTCTGACCTCCCAGCAGGCCAGTGCAGACATGGCCTTCGCTTCCCAGCTGCCTTCCACATAACCTGCTCCTCACTGTGCTGTGGATCCCACATCAGCCAGCCAGGGCAGGCAGGGGTGGCTGCTAAAACCGTATGACAGTTCTTGCCTCCCTCCTCCCTCCCACACTTCAGAATGTTAAATGAGACTTCTTGACTCAGGCAAGCTCCTTTCTTGGTTACAAAGATGTAAAATCAGCCGTGGCAACGGCACCAGCTCTTTTTCCTGATAGCTTCTCAGTCCCCAAAGCTAGGCAGTTGGCATGCGCACCGTCCTCCTTTCTTCCTGCAATTGGGGGAGCTGACAGGCTGTCCTCCACGCTGCCGTGGGCGGCTGCTCTGCTTCGGGGGCTCTTGGACATGGCTGTGCTTGAGATGGTTGTTGTAGCTGTATGTGAGGTGAATGCCATTCCACATAGACCTCTTCATGTATTAATGCAGTGCACACACAAGTCATTTAAAATCAGTGAAATTGCTCTGGAGTGTTCTTTGAGGAATTAGACCTTGAAGCTGAGGCTTTAAAACTCATCATAATACATTTGTTTATGGTATTTCAACCCTGTGAGCGTTTTTGTGCAAGCTGTATCCACTGCCTCCCCCCTAATTTAGATTATTTCTCAAAAGTGGAATTATAGTGTAATTGCAGCCTATGAGCTGTTGCCGTGGTTCTCCCTGGTGGATGAGTTATTTCTGGAATGTTGCCAATGACATGGGCACCTGTATTCCCGCATCCCCACCAGCACTGGGCTTTTCATCTTCACTTATCTTTGCTGGTTTACCCAGGTACTTCCAGTGTCACTCCTTAGAACAATTGTGAGGATGAAACGAAGATGGGTGGTTTATTGTCTACCTGTTGTCATTGGTGAGCCACCTTCCTGAGTCCCCGCAATCTTTCCTGCCCCATTGATGCCATCCCATGGATTGCTTAACATACTTCTTCATAAATTCAGAGTGGCAACTACAGATTAAATTACTTTAGCATTTTGGCAAGAGCCCAAAGCCTGGAAATTAGTATGTGAATGAAATGTGAGCCCTTAAGCCTTCAGTGCAAATGATGTCTCTAGGGAGAACCCGCAGTATTTTTCACAGGAAATCAGAATCCTTCATCAATTCCAGTAGAGAAGAGCCGAAGTTTGTGGATTCAACAGAAGGCGTTAGCCCAAGGAAACCTGTTCCAGTGTAAGTGGAAGGAATGTACTGAGCATAGCCAGCTAAAGGTGCCTCTTTGTGGACAGGGTGCTGGCCTTCCTCCTTTCATGGGGTGGGAGGAGAGGAAGGGAATACAGCTCAGCATTGCTTTGTCGGCACCATCCCTCTAGAATACGTGGGCCTTCCAGACACACTCAGACCACAGTGGGTCCGATCTGCCCTATTATACAGTGTCTTAATTTTGTTTCTAATTTT